GGCAAAGTTAGAAAACATTTCCAGCAATAATCTAGGTTCATGTGATCTCTTTATAGCTAATTAAACAAGCCCATTCTGTCTCTGTTATGTTTAAGAATCTTTGCTGTAAATACTTTACGTCCATATCTTATTTTATTCTTTTTGTGAGGAGAAAATAAAAACGAGATGAAACAAAGGGAAGCCATATCGGACATGATCACTTCAGATTATTCGAAGTTTTTCTTTTCCTTTTCCTTTTCCAATTCTTGTCTCAAGTATTTACAACACACCGGTGATTATTATCCTCTCTAATATTACGATTGTGAATAGATTCTAATATGTTGTTTTTTTTACTTTTAATTTCTCCCTGTTCAGTCGACCTCGCTCTGAAAGAAATCTTTTCGGAAGCACGTATTTTTTCATTTCGATTTTCTAGATATACACAAAACCCTCTCGTTTGCTATAGTTAATATTTGCACTGGGTTTATTCTATTTACTCTTTGTAAATGTACATGAATTACCGGAGTAATAATTCCACACGAAATAGATACAGGAATCGAAGCCCCATCAAATATGTCTATTTCTGAACGTATCTAAGTATATTTTTTGCACTGCATACATGTAGTTTTCATATTCTAAAATATCGGTAGAAATACTACATTAATTTTTCTATATATACTTAATTTGAAGTTAGTAGATTGTGTGGTGGATATGGTGTCTGCAATGAACAAAGACTGTTTTTTACCTGTCTCCATATCTAGTCTTAAAGATTTTCAAAATTATAAAATAATTGTTCCAAACTTTTGTGTATATTTATCTGATATTTTAAATTTATCCTCAACTGAAATGTTTTTTCTGTGTGTGAAAAGTACTTTCATTAGTACAAGGTATTTTTACTATTCTTATTTTCTTAATATTCAAAGGATGTTTTCTTATTACCAATTTACAAAATACAATAAATTTTGTCTGGAAATAAAACTGACTTGTATGTGTATTTCAGACCGATGTAGAAGATTCAGAACTTGTTAGCTATGACATTGACAAGCGGTTGTCATCCAGTGGCCCAGCTCCTCAAACAACTCGAAGAAGAAAGATGCAGGTCACAAGCTTGTCTTCGATACCAAGTGGAAACAAAGGTCGCCCCTGGCTGAAATACGTTGAGGATGCAAACGAGGAGGGTGAAGCAAGCTGCATGATGTTTTGTTCTGTTTGCACTAAGTGGAATATGAAAGGACGAAATGGATCCATGGTTTTGGACACAAGTTGGATGTCAAACTGTAAGACTGGACAAAATTACTTTGCATGAGAACTCTCAAATGCACCAGGAAGCAGTCAAACTTGAAAAGGATGATGCTGTGTCCATTGAAAAACACAGCTTGAGTGGAGTCAGGTCAAGGAACTGTTTGCTGAGGAAGTTCACCATCCACCATCCTGAAGACACTGACAAGCCTCAAGCCCAAACTGGGAGACCTCTACCCAAACATTGTGAAGCTCCTGAGTATCCATGCTACTGTGATCCTATCTACATCAGAGGTTGAGAGAGTCTTCTCCAGGGTGAAACTCATTGTGACAGACCATAGGAACAGGCTGAAAGTAAATAACTGCACCAAGCTACTTATGGTCAGCATGAATGCTAATTCTTCTACTGACGTTGACTTGAGGAAGTGTGTGGCCAAGTTCTTGGCATGAAAGAAAAGGAGAATATGAACGAATAAATTTATGAACTTACATCAAAGCATGCCAAACAGACCCAAATGATGTCAGCCACAGTAAATTACTGAACCCTTAATTGTTGTGCTTTTTTGTTCGCTGAATGCCCTTTTGAATTTTAAAGTGCCCTTTTTTTTCTGAGTCTACTCCTGCCCTTCTTCATAACCCTGGAGGAAACATATAGCATAATGTATGTTATCAGAGGTAATGATAAAACTTCTAGTCGTTTTATAGCTGACAGAACGTGTAAGTGATGGTCAGTTTTAACTCACTCATTCCAAAATAAACCTGAAAAGTGTTGATGTACAAAAATATTAAAAACATATGTGATTTAAATAGTTATAAGTGTCCATGAAAGGTCAAAGCGTGCATATTTAGATGGTCCCTGCACTATGTGATCCCTGCGACACCATCTTCCATCCTTTGACGCTGGTTGTTTTCTCAAACTGTTTTAGCTTCCTGCAGGAAGATTACCATTTTGAAAGTAAAGCTTAACGCAGCTTCAAGTGTTATTCCAACAATTTCACGGCCGCAACATTTGCAAACCAGATATGCAAGATACATTTCCAGTTTTAAAAGTGAAAAATGTTATGTAATTAGAATTCAGACTGAAATTGTTGTTCGTGAAAATAAACAGGTGAAGTTAAACGATTTCAAACTTTGCGTCCACCTATCTAGGCCCGGGTGACGTAGCATTGTGACGTCACTAGTCACATGACGTCGTTGTGTCTATATGTCCAGCTTATCAGTATTCGTCTAAACTACCTGACAGCCACGTCAGGCGCCTTGGATCAACGAATATCGATCAACTTTGACAACGTAGATACTTCCGACAGTGATTAAACTACTTAATATCCAGTTCGATATTGTCAAACGAAATTAAGTTAATGAAAATCAGTTTCTTCCAACATTAAAACACATTCGATGATATTTTAGTCTCTACGGCCCGAGGGTAGTGTCCTGTCGGTTGCCTGTTTGCCGGCTCGCCTTAGCCATGTCCGCTATCACCTTACACACGGAGATTCCCTCAAGTCATGCTATATATAACCAGCAGAAGCTATAAATAGACCTCCATCAACTGTGATGAGGAAGAAAATGATAAGACCAAGGTCGAGGTCACAAACACCAGCATGGCTGTTTGCTATACGTAACCTGGCTGTCGTCATATTTGACACATACGTGATCAGTGTGCTCTAACGCCATGATAGTGGTTATAAATTACTAAATTTTATAATAGTGTTTCACTGTTATGGCTCTCAGATATATGTGATTGTACAGCGGATCTTGTATGGGATTCTCAACCCAATGTAAACATTCAACGGTTTTACAGCTCTCTCAAAGTATAACACAGTCCCATGGATTGGGCGAAAACATAACAATGAGTAACCCGGGAGATTCGTTTTACTTGTGAAGACGAAAATAACTGATGAAAGAAGTTAAAAAATCAACTGAAATGTCATATGATTTCATCTTTACCTGTTCACAAATGGTCAGCTGGTTAAAGTTATTTGGCCCTAACACAACAACTGCGTCACCGCCCCTGGTGAGAAAGAGGTCCGAAACACCTATCCTTGCCGTAAAGTCATCCATGAAGAACCTCCGTAACTGCCCTGGCAGGATGTGTGACGCTGTTCATAACATCAACCACTGGTTTGTTTGGCCAGTCTTCAGCCTGTGTGTACACTATATCGTCACATCTGCCTTCACCAACGTAATGACCTTTATATGAGAAATGAGAACAAAGAGTTCACTGCAACACTGGCTCTCCTGCCGGTAGGATCGAACACAGACCATTAGCGTGGACTGGCGGCCGTGACCACTCAACTGACCCACCCCACAATGGAAAACTACCTACATAGACACATATGTTGTGTAGACTTCAGCACTCATAGACAATGTACCCGCAGGCCAACTTGCGGTATCAATACCGCATAAATGGTATCAAAACAAGTCTAAAACATGTACCTCTGAAACATGTAGACATTGCGGAAACACTACCTGAAAATGCATATGGATACACAGGTCGGCACACACACATCAGAGAGGTGCTGAATAACATGGAGATTCTTTAAATAGATACAGGTTTACAAAAAAGTTCAGGAGGTGAAACAGTAAGTTCAAAGGGAGTATCCCAGTTTGAAGTCGTGTTCCGAGGACATGTTCCGAGAGACTATTTACATCCACCATGTGTTTAGTGATTTGGGTGGTCATCACTAACGGGACGAGGTCATCTAGAAGATGACGACTGAAGGTCCACACCATGTAAGTAAGCATGGAGTGAGTGAGTGAGTGAGTTTAGTTTTACGCCACACTCAGCAATATTCCAGCTATATGGCAGCGGTCTGTAAATAATCGGGTCTGGACCAGACAATCCAGTGATCAACAGTATGAGCATCAACCTGTGCAATTGGGAACCCATGCCATGTGTCAACCAAGCAAGCGAGCCTGACCACCGCATCCCTTCAGTCGCCTCTTACGACAAGCATGGGTTACTGAAGGTTCATTCCAACCCGTACCTTCACGGGTGTCAGCAAGCATCTCCCAGAGAGCACAGAATACAAAACATTCCAAACAGCCCACGGAATTAGGTTTCACTTGTAACGTTTAAGACGTCGGATGAGATAATTAGTTTCATATGAGAGTTCACGTTGGTACTATACAAGATGGGATGGATCACTTTCATACGATAGTAATATAGGTGTTGTAAAATACACGATGTTTTAACTTCGAAATGAAATGAAACTATTTGCCCCATATATAAAATGTCATGGCGTTAAAAAGCTCATTATCTGACACACATATACTGAATTCATAATGTTAAGAGCTTTTGAAACTGCTTGCCTCCGACAACAGAGCATTACACCTACAAATGAAGTAACAGAGGAATTATCCCTTCTTCAGTTGGACGTTAGTAGGCGATAGCTGATCTCACAACCCTCGAGCCAGCATATATCTCTGTTGGCTTTCTATAGCTCTACTATACACAAAACAACAGTGTGTATCTTCCCTCCCTCCTCAACACGGAAGTACAGCTCTGCTGCTGCCGTCTCAGGTCAAGAGGAACTCGTGTATGAGACACGAACCTATCTGCTTTTAGTGGAAAGGCATAAACTTTGTCCAGCCAGTTACAAGGAATCAACTTTGTATCTACAACCTGTCAAAAGTGTATGACTGCTCTAAATGGCATTGGTAATGGCATCGAACAATCGGATACTTCTGAGGACATTAACTCAAAAATGAGAATTTCAATTGTAAACAAACGATGTAAAGGTGAATGACGCTTTGGTGCAGAATGATGGAATTTGACTTACCATTATTGTACATATCCTAGATAGGTCCACAAGTTAGTAAATGCTTCAGATCCCCGTACAATCGGATGTAAACAAGTGTCTAGTTGCCCTCTTCTCAACATCCAATCGCCACCTTATGTTTAGAGACGAGCAACCATTTGATCCTCCAGAAGTTCAGGAGCTCTGACGTAAATTGACGGAACAGTCTATTGACTGGTGAGGGATGACGCCACTCGCTTGGCTTCTAACACTGATGGAAGAACTGGGTTTAAAAACGCAAAGATGAGGTGGTTTCTGTAGATCTACAGCCCAACGTCTGAAGTCGGCCATCTGTAATAGAACCAGTGAAGAAATTACACACTTCTTATCAGATAAAGTTACCGAGTCCCCTACAGTATTTATCGACTAGCGCATCTTTCCAGCGAACGATCAACTCAAAATTTCTCGTGGCTATTTATTACGAGGAGCCCGCCTGGCAGCATGTTTTGGTACATCTCGAGAAAACCTGTATCCAGTCTAACAGTTGATCCTCGCAGTAGGTACAGACTTCTCACGGAATTATTCCTTTGAACGAAATACACTTTGATACAGCTCGACCAAATTAGGATTCCAGCACCCCATGAACTGGGCTGATCACTTGGATTCCCCAGCCCTGACCAGGGATGTGTGTTATGCTGGCTTTTCTACGTCGATGTTAATTGAATCTGGCTAAACAAATTTGTATTGATCTTGCCCAGTGCTGTAACCGGCGGGTTTTGCTGAAGTTGTGGACGGCAAGGATTGAAAATAACAGCCTAGTGTGAAATTAGGAACATTTAGTCGGATTGGTGATAGTAGAATCTCACATTAAGTGTTGCGCATCAATTCGTGTTAATACGTATTCCATTGCTGGAAGAGGTTATCGTAGTAGAGACCGAACTCAGTAGCCTTGCTGTAAAGTTGAGTGTGGGAATGGGGTTTTACGCTCTCGTCTGGAATAATTATATTTCAGAGCATCAAGTCCTCAATAATCGTGTTAATGATCAAATGACCGATTTGATTATTTTGCCTTTGATTCCACAAACAACAGCGCGGCGAAGCTCTCATTCTTGATGAGTAAATGATGTTTGACGCCACGCAAGCAATAATACAACTATACTGTACAAATGAAGTTAAGAACATCGATATTTTCTAATATCTATAGTTAATCTGTTATGAATGGTTCGGGTGCTCCTGAACTTCTTTGGAGTAAATATATAATACTGTCTGCAAGGCGCTAGAAGATTAACAGCCTAATGGCCATCTTATCCCACCAGGTACCCATTCACTGCTGGGTGAACAGAGGCAATTTGAACAAGCTCATCTGCCTGAGGTGAGGCGATACACGTCACAGGACGGGATTGAAATCCTAGTAATTCACCCTTCCAAGGACTCTATGTGACCGGGGCGGTGGGGTAGCCTAATGGATTTAAAGCGTTGGCTCGTCACGCTGAAGACCCGGTTCGAATCCCCACATGGGTACAGCAATGTGTGAAGCCCATTTCTGGTGTCCCCGCCGTGATGTTGCTGGAATATTGCTAAAAGCGGCGTAAAACCAAACTCACTCAACTCACTCACTCTATAATGGAACACTCGGTAACGCATTCAGAATCAGTCTTCTACCCTTCCTGTTTTCTAGTTTCTGACGTGGCTGGCAATTTGGGGACGAGGTCAGGGTTAGCGCCCTCACTCACTCAGTCAGTCAGTCTATGTGACCAATTCCAACGTTACTCCTTTTCAGCTGTTCGTCACGATATGGCTGAGATATTGCCGATGTGACGTTAAAATATTAACTCACATTTCAGCTCACTATGCACTCATTTCAGCTGAAAATTTGTGACTTATGCACAGGACCATATCTTCATCACTGTCATGCACAAACCACGGTAGTATAATCTCAACGTTCTGAAAATTGTAGAACCGTTAAAATATGTCATGCATTAGCAGTGGGCGGGGTGATCCAGCCACGTAGGTGGTATACAACCGCTGGTACAAGTGACCTTCATCACTGTCATGCACATAGCAGTGGGCGGGGTGACACAACCATATAGGTGGTCCATACAACCGCTGGTACAAGTGACCTACATCACTGTCATGCACATAGCAGTGGGCGGGGTGACACAACCATATAGGTGGTCCACACAACCGCTGGTACAGGTGACCTTCATCACTGTCATACACATGCCAGTGGGCGGGGTGACACAACCATATAGGTGGTCCATACAACGGCTGGTACAAGTGACCTACATCACTGTCATATACACATAGCAGTGGGCGGGGTGACACAACCATATAGGTGGTCCATACAACGGCTAATACAAGTGACCTACATCACTGTCATACACATGGCAGTGGGCGGGGTGACACAACCATATAGGTGGTCCATACAACGGCTAATACAAGTGACCTACATCACTGTCATATACACATGGCAGTGGGCGGGGTGACACAACCATATAGGTGGTCCACACAACCGATGGTACATGTGACCTATACTGTCATATATACATAACAGTGGACTGGGGTGGGTTGACACAACCAGGTAGGTGGTCGACACAACATTCGTCACACCCGAAGAATACAACGAGTCACTGTACAAGATGACCCATTGCCGTTCAGTCTTGTCTTGTGTCAAGGCTAGTTGGTAGTTCCTTCGAAAGCTAATCTGGCTGCGTGTTGACGGGCTAATGTCAACGTGGACTATACATGCAGCTTGCAATGGCGATATCTAATATCTCAGACACATCTCTATTACACGATACATCAGGAAAATGTGAAGCTCCTATTAATTCTGCGAGTGAAGATAGTTTTTCGAAATTCGTTATGAATCCGCTCAATCCATCATCTCTCTCTGTCATCATCAGAGATCTGCCCTCAACATCATTCAAGATGACGGAATTAAACGGCGACCAGACCGTGGCATGATGACATACATGCACCGTGTAGGTAATGTCACCATGTCAGGCTGTATGTCATTTCAAGGGTATGACATGCTTTTAATAAGTTACTATGAACTCGGCTTGCCATTCACACATGAAACAAGGTTACAGAGCTCGTCCGATCACTGGTGGATAATGGCAGTGTATAAAGTAGTGTACGAACAAACAGGGATTACCAACACTGGAGATGTAGTAACCATCACAACACGTATGACAGGGGTCATCGTGTCACGGTTTCATACCGCGGGTGTCATATTTCACTCGGGCACCTAGTGTCAATGGTTGGTCGAGTCACTGGTGTCGGGTATATCGCCTATTGAAGCTGTTATGCTTCACTTCCTGCACATGTGCTATGGATGCCATACACCAAACAACGAAAATACTCATGGGTGTAATAATATACATGATTACAAGAGAAGGCATCAGCTGTATAATCTACGATTATCTGGGGTATTATTTCCCCGTTCTATTGCAGTAAGTACCCTTGACTCACTCGCACCCTGCGTTCGTTTCGAAAGGGATGTGGATGGGTGGGGTAGCTCAGTGGTTACAGCGTTCGCTGGTAACGCGGAAGACCCAGGTTCGACTCCCCTGTTTAGATTCCCAATTAATGGATAGTATTACAATGTGTGAAGGCCATTTCTGGTGTCCCCGGACGTCATGTTTTTGGAGGGGCGGTGGGTTAGCCTAGTGGTTAAGGCGTTTGTTCGTCACGCCGACGACCTGCGTTCGATTCCCTACATGGGTACAATGTGTGAACCCCTTTTCTGGTGTCCCCCCGCCGTGATATTGCTGGAATATTGCTAAAAGCGGCGTAAAACCCAACTCACTCACTCACTCATGTTGTTGGATTATTACTTAAAGCGACGTAAAACCCAAGTGACTCACTCACTCTGAAGGATGTCACCATCTCACGGCTCCTTATCACTCAGTATTACTGTATCTTCGGTTCCACGATACTTGAAACTGTTTCAAAATCATTGCAAATTAGTCCGGCCTTCTTCTACATGCCCACACGATCTCTTTCAGTGTGTAATGACACCACATTAATCTGAAATACTATTCTTTCTCCTTCTCGACAGCTGAAGGTCTAACCAGGAGCTGCACTTGTTGCCACGGGCATTAATCATATGTAGCCAGCTAATTATCCAATGCCAAGGATACCAGACTAAACCCATCGTGAGTGACGGCAGTAGACCCCTCGTAGTCTACAACAACATGCCTCATCCTTTCTGATGCTATCACAGATCGACCAGACATGCGCAGATCGACCAGACATGCGCTATTTGTCTCGGTTTGTTCGTAGTGCCTGCAGTAGCCTGAAGTAATCTCGTAAATTCTCATTTTTCTAAAACTCTTTATTTAAGATTCTCGGATATTCAGGTAAAACATTACCTGTTCGGTTTTACTCATTTGCTCTGACTCAAAATAGTATTCTTTGCCATAGACACATTGTTGTTTAAAACAGGATTGCTCTTTACATGCTTTTAAAATAGTCCGTCATATGATGTATCTGGGTAGTTAGACAAGGTAGAATACGATTGGTCAGCTGGTCAATACGACTGGTCAAAATGAACAATTATTGATTTATTTTGGACTTCACACAGCGTGGAACAATATCAGAGTTATTCCAAAGTGTGTGTGTTTCTTTAGGAAGGACCGTGTCACGTAACCTAGATAGGTGATATTTATTACCATGTTGACAGACCTGGAACCATAATCCAGACAAGCCGTGGATTTGAACCAACGGTAAGCGTATCCTGGTGTGACGAAGGGACACAAATATCGTCCACGTCGTCTAAGGCACAGCACTACGCAGTGCAGAGTTGCGGCCCTTGGTGCACCAGTAACCTGTGGTTCTAGTTTCGAATCCCATTCGCGCCTGTCTTGGTTTTAGCTTTGTTAGCACCATACCCGTCCTTGTCGGTGTCAACTACGTCAGACATCTGTATTACATCGTGTTCTCCCCTGATTGCCGTAACAGGGAAATGTTTTATAATTCTCTAAACTGGCTAATCTCAGTGTTTTTTAAAGCTGGGATGTTACATCTCTTTGTGTTTATGAAGGCTGCTTTGTCTTTGCATCAGATTCGATATGATGTCGTCAATGATCCATCTCAGGTTTACGTATGAGAGCCACAATTGTCAGTCATAATGAGGGAAACAGAACCAAAATGTCAAATGTCCAAG